AGGAGCTCTGGGCGTTTGAGTAATCTGTTTAATGAAATGGATGAGAATAAGAATGGAAACTAATAGTATGAAGGGTATGTCAGATGGTTATACTCCTTTTAACGTTTTTTGAAAAAACTCTGGGTGATTTTGACAGAACTAAAGCAATTTAGATAACAGTTTGTTGCTGAATAGCTAAAGGCAATGAATCAAAGAATTACAGCTTGAAGTGGAATCCCGCCTTAAGACCATACAATGTACGACTACATATTATAACCACATTCTTTATACTCAAATGAAAAAAAAAAACGCTCCTGAGTAGAGTCAACTCTCTCTTATGGACACTTCTATAACACGGGCACCTGGCTAAAACTGACACCAAGAGTTCGTCTCTAACCTTTTTACTCCTTTTAGTTGACTCCCTGTAAACAGACATCTCTCTAATAATACGGACACATGACTGTAATTATATTTTTCGAATCGACGCTATCACCTTGTTAACACTGGGAGTAGGTAGTTGCTACATTAACAGGCTTAGTAGTTTTATACCTTGGTCATGAACAGTCTGCTTGGTTAGATCCGAAGGCCCATCAACACCAGGTCCAATGGGACCACTAGCACCACTCGCCGTTCGGGGATCTGCATGAACAAGTCAAGAATTAAATGAGGAGACCTTGAAATACGGCACAACGGAGGCCCCACAAAACATTACACAAAGCTTAATAACGTGATACACTTAAATTCACTTAGTGGCTTAATTACCACAAGATCACGTGAAATCTCCAAGAAAATAACGGTAAAATTAGCCGAAAGAATCTTTATGTTAATAATTGGTATGACCCTTAACGCAGCTTGAAATTCCAAATTTTTCAGGATCAACTGATCCTAAACTGTTCTGCCCTGCTTATACGTGACCTGCTTAATGGGAAGCAACTTAAACAATTCCAAGAGATGGAAGGTGTATGAGAGTATTCCCTCGATAGGTAATTTTGAAGTTACTGACACATAAAACTAACATTTTAAAGGTGCTGGAACGTCTGACAAATTATAAATAAGGTCTTGTATGGAAGCAATTGCTGGATCCGGCGACTTTTCCATAGATACATAAAGTATATTCCCTGTTAACCACACCACCCTAAATTCGCAGCGTTAAGAGTTTAAAACCTACCAATTGGCAGGGTTGTATCTCCTAACAAGGCCTACTGCATAGCATACCTTTCTCTTTAGAAGCTTCTTCACTTGCCACTTCATTCAGCCTGTCTCTGATGTCGTCTTCTACCTTCTTCCACTGCTTGAGAAGTTCTCTGAAATGTTCCTCATCGAGGAATTCAATTTCCTGGTCTTTAAATTCATCAATGAGATCTTCATAATCAGCTCCACCCAATCGTACTAGTGTGTCACGGATATGCTGCCAGTAGCTACTGAATACAGCATCACTCACAGAACCCTCCGTGGCATGTTTGGATACGGCGTTCATAAAGTACTTAATGCGCGCAATGTCAGACTCGCGACTGGTGTCTGATGTAAGAGGAGGTGTGTCCCAGCCAGCGGGTGGAGGACTCAGATTACAGATTGTCCTTAGAAGCACAATCAAGAGGGGGATATCAAAGCTTGCAGATGACACTTCAGTGGGTGTGGCGGGGTACAATTTCCTCCAATGAACTGAAGAAAGGACTCCTTTCTTTCGCAGTAACTGTAGTCTGGAGTGCACCGGGTCACTTTTCAACAATTCTCGAAGATTCTCCGGTGGAATAATGCTATCGAATGTATCTCCAAGCACTCGCGACCCTATGCTAATCAGCAGGCGACATAAACGAGAATAATTGGTCTTCCCTTGAGTGGACTTTGAAACTGAAGAGGAGCCTACAACCAACAACAAGAGTCACCATTACATACAGTCCTAATTCTTCACACTGATTAGTTAATATAAACAGTTTCAAAAATAAAACACTACTATTCCAAAATACTGTACAATAGTCAATTACATAACTTGTAGCTAACCAGCGTAGCAGGCGTTTGAAAGTAGTGGCTGGCCTTCGTCGCACGCCCCGTTCTAACTCGCCTATAAGAGACTATAAGAAAGAACTAGGGAAGCGTCTAATACGGTGACCTGACAGGTAACCCAGGCTTTGGGATAGTACCACAGTACGGTTCCAGTAAAATTAGTGTTTGTATGGGATAAAAACACGATCCTAAAATTTGTAAGAAATATTTCCTTTTCCAAACAGATATTTTGGCAAACCAGGGGCACCCAACGACTGTTGTACATTTTTCGAAGTGCATCCACTAATTTCCCTACGATTTTCTGAAGTTTAATTTTTCACATTTTACTCCCGGATTCAAAAATGTGAAGGAGAGGAGGAATCAGAAAAATTCTCACTTTCGTAATACGTCAAACTACACGTAAAATTTTCGGGAAAATAATACTTAAGCCCTTTTACTTTCGAATGGGCTCAAGTTCCCCTAGGATTACCGGGCAGGCACAAATTTTAAAGCCCCGCTTAGAATACATTTCTAGATATCTACAAGGGCTAAGGATAGCCTTAAAAGTGTTTTCAATGTTTGTAGGAGGAAACCGTCGTTGGGTGCCCCTGAAAGACACTTTTGGTAGCTTTCTAGGCATAATGTGATCCAATAATTTGTACAGTGAAAAGTACGCAAATAGCACGTGTTCTCACAAGCAGCATATTCTTTTTTTCTTTTCCCTCTCTAGAAGTGTTAATGTTCTTGAACTTAATACACGGAGAAAGAGCGAAATCCTAGACCAGTTCGAGACAGACCAAGGCCAACCGTTCTGCCTGAGCGGTATGTATAAGTCATGCAAGTGAACTTAGTTATCATTCATCCACGCATGCGTAAGGCATGGACTTAGAAAAAAAAACCGATTCAAATAATGCTAACCATTTTAATGAACAAAGAACACTTTTGACCAGCAACACCATTCAAGACTAGTATTACGCTGATTATTATTAAGTCATCGGGGATACCTTCAGGGTCTACAGTTGTCTCCTCCATTCGCTGAGAAGATTTATCGGTGGATGAAAAAATTGTGCGCTTTGTTTCTGAAGAGCTCTGGTAATTTAGAGTATCATCTGTTGATAAAAAAGAGTAGATATCAACAGGCTGTTTTGGTAAATGCGGATGCATGGAATAATCACATAAGCCAGTGAACTAGGGACAAAGCATATGATAGACGGATTGGGTCAATATTACTTTACTGCGTTTGCCTACATGTAACGTAAAACTTTGTAATCGCCTTTTTCCAAGATCTCAGCCGGGAGAAAAAATGAAGCGGATATTTCTCAAAGTTGGTTTTGTTTCTTTATTTTAATTTCTTCTTAGAGTCCACGTTCTATTATTCCACGTGCAATGTATGAAAAGTGTTTTTTTTTTTCATAAAAAAGAAAATTGACGTTCATACCGTAAACCCAACAGATCATCTTGTCAATGAAATCTTTTATCTGTTTGGCCCAGTTGTATTTCTTGCCATAGGATTCGCGCAAAGTTTCCGCTTCCTCAAGCCGACTTCTCCTGTCCTTGACCCAGATTGTTTTGATAGCAGAGGTCCAATCTGCCGGTTCCTCTGAGTTCACTACATATGATGATCCAAAAGGTACACCACGTAAAGCTTCTCCAAAACCGGAGTTGCGGCTGACAAGCAAAGGGAGACCAGCTGACAAGGCCTCTAGCCCTGTCAATCCAAAGCCCTCTGTTCTTGAAGGCATGACAACAAGATCCACTTCTTGAAACAAGCGCCTTAGACTCTCTCGATCTTGAACAAATCCTCTTACTCTCAAGCGACTTGGAGGGACACCACATTCGGTCAACCGTTTTGCTATTTCTTCGTGTTTTCCATCTGGAGCCCCAACAAAGACAAGACGAGTATCTTCTAACTCAGCAACTGCTTTCCCAGCGATGTCAAATCCTTTCAATTCGAAATCCTCTACGTCTCCACGACCAAACACCAAGACACTGTGTTGTTGCCTTTCGTTCAGAGCCTGCTTCACAGCCTCAAATTCTACAAATACTCCTGGAGTTAAGTCAAGGACATTATCATCTTTTTGGCAGCTGCGAGGATAGGAGCGAAAGGCCTCGCTCAACTTGGGACCAACCCCAACAACATGATCTGCCATTTCACACAGTTCTACTTCGATCTTGTGCTTTTCCTCGCCTTTTGAAATTGGATCTGAATAGTTTTTGAACATTCCAAGTTCCTCTGGATCTGTGTGCACCACTTGAACCCATTTGCACCTTTTAGATCTTTTAATGATTTGTGCCTGTTTACCGAGTTTAACTCCATGACCTACGATAATGTCGATTTGCAAATCTTCAGGCGGAAAGCAAAGCCAGTCCAGTTGCTCAAAGCCAGACAGGGGGGTTGCTTCAACGATCTTTACGTTATACCTCAGGGCTAACTTCTTGTCCTCTTTACTGCATTGCGGTAAAAAGACAGTGATTTCCACTTCAGGGTATTTGGCCAACTGAATGGCTAACTCTCTGTTTATGGTGGAAAGTCCCCCTTTGCTTGATCCCCATTCAGAAGCCAAAATAGTGACTTGCACTTTGCGGGAATCATCTACTCTGCAATCCCGTGACTGAGGTTCCCGTAAAGAAGATGCCATACATCAAAGTTGTCATATATCTTTAATAAAAAGTAAACACAGAGAGTCACTTATGATTATCTGAGAATGCAAGGGGTACCCTCAGGTAATGCAAAAGCTTTTGGTTTGTTAAAAACGTTTCTGGTTCAACAGGCTGAGTTATTCCAAAAGGTTTATCCGCTGAACATGCTGATATTGATTCCGTTTGTTTGAATGACTTGAATCTGTTGGTAGTTGTAGTTATCAGATTGACCTCTGCATTCCTGCATGGGGAATGAACAGCGAATTCACACGCGAGGTTGTTAAGAAATTTCGAAGACAGTGGCGGAGGGCGTGCGCAGGGTTGGCAAGAATTCGGATTGAGTTAATAACTATTAGTCTCAAAAAAGGTAAGACTTTATTTGGCAATCAGACAATACCGTCGCAGCTAGTGTTAAGTATATCCACGGTGCTGATAAAACAAGATTTTAAATTTTACCTGCCTTTTAAACGCGGCACGTTGTTTGGATAAATCACTTTAAGGCTCAAATAGACATTTTAGCAAGATTTACCCAATTTAATAATTCTAATAAAAAAAATGATCGGACAGTTAATGGAGCTCTGTACAATGGGGCGTAGAAAGTGCACAAAATAACAACTAGACGCGGTACGGGTAACTCATGCCACTTTAGAAATGTCCGTTGTTACCTAATAATTACATCTAGATAAGCAAAGCAATACGCTAAGCTTGAATGTACAAACAAGGGTTGAACAGTTTGTTGACTCAAGCACGCAAAGTCACAGTAAAGGAGAAAAACAGTGATAGTGCTGTAGCTGCGCGCTTACAATAACTAGGACACGAACTCATTGATAAGAACGATTACAATTATGAGATATAAGTTTAACAATAAATTGACCGAGCCTCTAAGACAGCATTCATGTCGAAGCCTCTACAACAGTCGCTTAATCTTTGCAAATCAGCAACTTCAAAGCAGACACTGAAAGACTAACCTGTATATACACGCGCAAATCATTTAACAGAAAGAAAGACGATGGGCTCAGAAAAAGCAAACGACAGGAGGAAATTGAAAGCGAAAGAGGAAGTAGTCAGGGTTTTCGAAAAGGGCGGATAAGATCATCGTTAGGAGAATTAGTCACGTCAGGATTTTAGATCACGCAATCGATAATAAATTTTACACAAGTAGATCATCACAACTTTTTTTAAATACAGTCTACTGTTGTCTGTTGTTAACTGAGAAGTTAAGGAAAAAACTAACTAAATAGAAAAATATTCAGCCCAGATAGTTTTGAGCTTCGATTTTTTGGACTGCAAAGCTCGACTCCAGTCAGAGGAAGGCCCCAGTCATTTGAGGAAATTACATTTGACTTTCATTGTTTTTCAGAGTATTTCATTGCTTTTGTGACTATCTCATGCAAGTCTTCGCATGGCTTAGTGTAAACGTAGATCTGAATTCAGTATGGCCACCAACGTGACATTTTTTTGAACGGGGAAAGCACCTAGAAACATGAAGTTTTAACTATAACACTCACATATCGGACAGAGGCACCAAACGACGCTTACCTCCCAAATGCATTGAAAACGCTTTTTAGGCTATCCAGAGTACTTTTGGATCTTTAGAAATACACTCTAATCACCGCTAGTAAAATTTATCTATGTTCGGTTATCCTAAGGCAACTGGACTGTTTTCGAAATTACCCAGGGCTTCGGTATCATTTTCCCGAAAATTTTAGATGCAAGTTAAAGTTTTACAACAGTGGCAATTTTTCGATTCCTCTTTCCATCGCATTTGCGTATCCGAAAATCTTAGGTTTCCTTTCTCTGCGAAAAATAGCATAACCTGGGGAGTGAGGTGCGAACAATTAACCTTCAGAACTGCCAACTGTCGTTGGGTGCCCCCTTTCGGAATCCTTTGCAAACGTAGATGAACCACTAAATCTACCAGTATTTAACATTTTTGGATTAGAATCCAAATGATTGTTCAACTGACGTCAAGGACAGAGTTTACCAGCGACTCACAAACGCGTATACGGAGTAGTAAATCACAACAAGGTAATCTTGAGCTAACACGCTCCAATTCCAATATGGCCGGTCTACGACAGTTCTACAACAAATACCTTCAATGCCTCCAGGCTCGACTTGTGACATGATTTGTAACACGAAATACCCGAAACAATAAACAAACACAGGTAAAAGAGTGGTAAAATAAGAGCATAAAAAGCAGCTTGAAAACTGCAAGTGTAGATCGGAAATTCAGTGTCAGACACGAATAAACCGTGAAGCCATAA